GGTTCAACGATTGGTTTACTCAATTGTCCGTTTTGAGGAACCGAAACAGAAGCCTCTAATTGTACATGCACTAAGTGTCAAAACTTGGGCCATACAAAGGCCTATTGTTATCACGAAGTCAGTGCGTTAAATGTGCCGGCCTACACGCTTCAGACACTTGCCAGAAGCCAAGAGATGAGCCTGCGATGTGTGCCTTTGTGGCGAAGCCCATCCTGCGAGCTACAGAGGATGTGAAGTATATAAAAATCTTTACAAACAAAGATCACGAAACTCAGCGGTGAAAAATCTTGGATCTGCTCAGAAAACTTACACTGAACCACCTGAAATTGAAAATCAGGATATTTTCCCAGCATTGCCGACTTCACCTTCCCTCGTCATCCAACAACAACCATCCATCTCTACAGCTAAGGACTCACCACACCAGAATCTCAGAAATTCTCACTCCCAGTCTTCCACCAGTAAGAAGCAACCTCAACGTCAGGCGCCTCAGGCCTTCCAATCCAAGCCCAAAATCCCTAATACTCAGCCTCAACCTCCTCGCCAGCAAATCCCTCCTCATCATTTACCCTTAAGAGTCAAACTCCCGCCAGAGCATCCACATCCAGCTCCATTCGTTCCTAATCCCAGGATGAACCCCCCTCCACAAGTCCAACAGAATTTAGATCCTCCTCCTCCTCGTACCCCACGACGGGCCCATCCCCCACCCAACATTCCTAGTCGCATAACCTACCCATCACAACCTCCTGATCCAAACCCACTTCCCAGCCAAACACCATTCGACATCAACACTATCTTATCATCATTCCTGATAGATCTTCAACAGACTATCAAACCGCTCATAACCCTTCTAACCAGACTCCTTTCTGAAATCCACTTAGCTTCCCTCGATGAACTCAAAGTCCCTAGCTATTCTCTTATGGAACGCTAATGGACTGCTAAACCACCGTGACGAACTAGACATATTTCTCCATGACAATTATATTGACATTGCCCTCCTAACAGAAACTCACTTCACCCAACGGACACATTTCTACATACGTGACTACATCACCTATAGATCTGACCACCCAGACAACACTGCCCACGCCGGTTCTTGCATCCTTATCCACAAATCTTTACCCCATTCCCTTATTCCTTCTATTCCAACAGATGCCATTCAGTCAACTTCTGTAATCCTCTCAACTCGTCCTTTCCATCTAACACTTTCAGCTGTATACTGTCCTCCTGGCAATTCCCTCTCGTACAGCCTACTTGAATCCTTTTTACAATCCCTCGGATCGCGCTTTATTGCTGGAGGAGACTACAATGCTAAACACCAACGATGGGGTTGTCGATCATCCAACTCCCGTGGTAATACCCTTTCACAAGTTTCTTCTTCCAACAATTATTCCATCCTCTCGCCCATGAATCCTACTTATTTTCCAACATCCCTCAAAAAACGTCCCGATATCCTGGACATATTTATCACCTCCCAGATTTCCTCCTCCCAAACTATAATCAAATCCCTGGATGACCTTTCTTCAGACCATAGTCCAGTTCTGCTTTCACTACATTCTGACTTTGCTCCTAAACCATCACTTCCTAAACTGATCACTGGACGAGTAAACTGGGACAAATTTCGTGATGATTTGGAAAACAAACTAGACCTCAAAATCCCGCTAAAAACAAAAGAAGACATTAATGGCCATAGAAAAACTGACATCATCAATAACAGACAGTATAAATAATAACACCTTTATCAATAAGATTAACTTCCCACAAAATACTAACTTGCCACAGCATATTCGCATCTTATTACAGGAAAAACGCAGAGCAAGATCGAAGTGGCATAGGACTAGATACCCAACAGATAAATCGCATTACACACAACTGACTAACAAACTGAAATCAGAAATTAGAAAATACAAAATTCAAAATTTACTAAATTTTACTGAAAAACTTACAACCACTGACAAATCATTATGGATGACCACCAAAAAACTTCTTAAGTTTCAAGACTTTAATCACCCACTACTTACTGATTCCCAAACCTGGTCCAAATCCGACGAAGAAAAAGCCCAACTATTTGGACAACATCTTTTCCAAACTTTTAATCCACACCCGATATCCTTAATTCAACTCACATCAATTGTATTGAAGCAGAACTGGATATTCCTCTCCAAATGTCTCTGCCACCCAAAGCATTTCATCCCATAGAAATATCCAACATCATTCAAAAATTACCTTCCCGTAAAGCTCCTGGACATGACCTAATTACATCCCAGATCCTAAAACTTCTTCCTCGAAAAGCCATCCTATTCCTTACTTATATATATAATGCTGTACTCCGTTCTACATATTTTCCTGATCTTTGGAAACGATCTATTGTTAAAATGATCCACAAACCCAAAAAACCACCAGAATACCCATCCTCTTACCGTCCTATCTCTCTTTTACCCATCATGGGCAAAATCCTAGAAAAACTCATCTTAAAACGCCTGTACCCTATCCTAAATTCTAAACACATAATCCCAGATCACCAATTTGGTTTCCGAACTTCCCATTCCACTATACAGCAATGTCATCGTGTGGTAGACGTAGTCTCCTCTGCATTGGAGCGCGGAATGTACTGTACGGGAGTCTTTCTCGACGTTGAACAGGCGTTTGATAGAGTTTGGCACCCGGGACTGCTGTACAAACTCCGAAAATTCCTACCACCTACATACTTCCTCATTATCCGTTCCTACCTTACTGATAGATACTTTAAAGTAAATCACAATAACGCCTATTCATCCCTTTTTTCCCAGTCTGCTGGTGTTCCTCAAGGTAGTATCCTAGGTCCTATCCTCTATACAGTTTATACAGCTGACATCCCTACCTGTCCCAACACTGTCATCACCACATATGCCGATGACACATGTATCCTATCAGTAAACAATGACCCAGCAATTGCATCCCAAATGCTTCAATCACACATCATAAATCTAGAAGAATGGTGTCAAAACTGGAGAATTAAAATAAACTCCAATAAATCCCACCAAATTACCTTTACCCTTCGTCGTAAACCAACGCCTTCCTGTCTACAGTTTCCTTTAACAATACTCCACTTATCCCTGTTGAGCAAATCCGATACCTAGACTCCACCTGGACAAACGCCTAACTTGGAATCCTCATACTAGACTGAAACGACTAGAAACCGCTCGACGTTTCCGATTACTTCAGCACTTACTAGACAAACGCTCTAAACTTCCCATTAATTACAAAAGACTTATATACTTGACTATAATAAGACCTATTTGGACTTACGGAGTTGAGCTATGGGGCTCCACTAAACCATCGAATTCCTCTCGCATCCAATCCTTACAATCCAAAATCCTTCGTAAAATCCTCAATGCTCCTTACTTTGTCACTAATAAAATTATCCATAAAGATCTTAATGTTCCTTATGTTTCAGATTTGGCCCAATCCAGATACCTATCCTTCCATAATAAACTTCAGAATCATCCCAACCCTCTCGTTTCTAACCTTGCTTCCTCTTCAATTCCTGATAACCCTCCGAGGCGTCTGAAAAGAAGATGGCCCCGTGATCTCCTAATATAGTCATATCATTAGAGTGCTACCATTGGGTAGTTACTCAGCAAGTGTATTCATGTCATTATATCAATTATGTCCAAATTTACTTGATGTATTTATGTAATACAGTTGTAAATGTCATAAAGAAATAAAAAAAAATTTTAACGAAAACAATTTACCAGGCGTTTATTAAAAATGATATGTTCAAATCGTTGTTCATTTTGAAATCAAATGTATTTATACCTTTGCGGAGCTAATTCATGATTTACATGTATACTAACTGTAAACTTTATAATTGGGGGATTTAATTCAATGATAAAAGGACCTCACACCAGAACATTTTTAAATGTGATTTATTAAAACTAATATTTTGATATCGTGTGATTCTCGAGAAATGTATGGAGTATAAAATGGTCACTAACCACCTTTTTATAGATTTCCGAAATGCATATGACAGTAATAAGAGCTTTAAGATCTATGGTGGCTGCATTACATCCTAAGCTCTATTATAATACATCGCAGGTAATGGAAAAAAAAATTAAATCCTTACAATATTGTATTGTAGTCATTTTTGCTTAAAATACGAGTACTTTTATGAAGTGGTATCAAATCACCTTATTTTATTACACAATTTGAGGTGAATCTCACTTTATTTGGTAATTAACTTCAACTTATTTACTTAAAGCATATTAAACAGGGAAGATTTTCTAAAAGTGAGGTATCTGTAGATGGAGAGGGAGGGGGACTAGAATAATTCATGTTTTTTATTAAAAAAAAAAAAGAACATAGTTTAGTTTATTCACTTAAAAGTCCTGTAAAAATGGTTTTTACAATGACAAACTATACTTTCATTTGAAGTAAATTTTGTCCAGCTTACTATGAAAGGAAGGAAAAAGGAAGAAAAATAAATAAATAAAAAGAAAAAAATAATAAAAATGTATATATATATATATATATATATATATATATATATATATAATATTATATATATATTATATATATTTTACTAATATTAACTAATACGTCTGTATATTTATATATAAGTTCATATATTGTCCTAAGGATAGAAGAGTATGCTGTGTATATAGCAACCCAATATAATTGGGCAGCAATCCTTTATATTTTATATTTTATGAAAATAAAGTGTTTCTCTCTCAATCTCTGCTTCTACTCCTATAAATATTTCTGTCCACTTACAGGACACACTCTATGTGTTTGAGTGCCTGTGTGTTTTAAAAATGTATTGTTGGCAAACCAGTGGCATATACCATTCATTTACATTTACAAAATTATACCTCGATGTGTGATTGGATTTTAAGCTCCGTTACCATACTGATGAATCAAGATATCTTACTTTATTGGTGATAACTCATGGAAGGTTAAAAATATTGAGATAATCTCTTAAAAAAACAAAATATATTTATTTCACAAACAAAATAGAGCAGCATTTAGACGTACAAAGTATCGCTCTCCTCAATTTTGATTCTTCTTATCATAGGTGTTGAATGTAGTATCCTTAGTACTGCACGGCTCAGAAGGGCAATAGCATTGATGAAGTTGTCTATTTTTGCCGAAATAATCTCAGTAAGTGGTGTCTGAGTACTTTTATCCTCATAATTATGCTTTGTCTTATTATAGAATACATACATAAATGCCGAAGGAGATTCAGAAATGGTGCTGACATTATGGAAAGTTGCACTTGGTACTTTCATGATCCCACCCTCCGCCAATATTGTTGATTTGTTTTCAATGGAAACTGATACCTTCCCTTTTATTAGTTGTAGAGTTATATTCTCGAGGTCTTCATGGACATAGTTTTCTAAAGTAAAACCTATAAAATAAAAATCAATTCAATAAATAATGGTTGATAGAGAAAAATATGAATATTAATGGAAGAATCGTTTTGAAGCTAAATTTATTATTTTTTTGTATTGCCTATTAAGTATAATTATATTAAAACTTCAGCAGTTAAGCAATAGAATTTGAAAATATATATTAATTCTTTTTAGATAGATATTGTTATTAGCTCCAATTTCCCTTAAGAATGAATAAATCTTTGTCCTTTTTAAAGACAATTTTTTATTTTATTGCATTTTATTGAAACACATCAATTAGAATATAAAAAAAAAAAATCCTGACTACGTTCTTTTTCTTTTTCATCTAGTTAGTCCCAAAACCAAGCCTCTCAAACTAAACCCACCTGTGTTAAATGCTGTCAGAAAAAAAGGAAAGAACAAATAAATTTTCTGTAACTGCTCTAAAATATGTGTATATATATATATATATAAGATATATCGGTAAATATATATATTTTCAAAATGACACTGCTTTAAGAAATAAGTTTCTATCTTCATTACAGGTATTCAGCGAACCCAACCTTATGGGAAATAAGTGAACTTATGATAATTTAATTATTAAAAAAAAATGTTTTAATTATTAATTGTAATCATTTTTATTGGAGAATAAGTATAAATACAAACCCACTGTTAACCACAAAGTAAAGAATAAAAGCAATAAGAAAAAGTAATAAAATCTTTTATGATGATATGCTTACCAGGAAAATCTGCCATAAAAAGAACGTCAGAGTGGTTTGATGATGACAATATTTTCTTTTCAATTACCCTTAGTTCATCTCTAATTGGTGTTAATTCATCAAGGAGAGGCATCACCCAACTTACTCGTTCAAAAGGTGACCATTTAACTGACAAAATATCAACCCTTGGGTCAAACATTCTTTGATGAAACCTTTTATTAAGGGATACCCAGATATCTATAAATTCAAGATGAACTATTTTAACATTTAAACATGAATGGAAAGGTATATTATTTCACATCAAAAATGAATAGGGATATTTCTATTTGATTAGTTTGAATGAAAATACCAAATATTCTTTTTGTTTGTAAGGGAATCTCTTACTATTTAGTAAACAAAAAAAGTAAATACTAAGTATTCTTTATTTTTAATAAATTATTAACTAAAGGATAGTCAACATGAATAATACTCATTGTATAAACCAACAGTTGTTTTTGATTTTTCTCAAGTTTAGTTCAGCAATATTCTGTTTAACGATGAAGAGACTTCATATTGAACTAGAGATTTGCAATATTATCGTGAGAATAAGCGGGCACTGACAAGTACATATTGCCAATGCAGTTGGTGTCTCCCAGACAGTGGTCTCCTGGGCTTTAGCCAGATTCAGTGAAACTGGAAGTATCAATAGGAGACTTGTTAGTGTAGCTCAGTGCATTACCACACCAAGGGATGACAGAAATATTATTATTACTGCAAGAATCAACCCTTTTCATAGTAGTAGGCTGAGAGGGGCGGGGTGGCCGAATGGGCTAAAGCGTGTGCACAGCACCCTGAGTTGCCTGGCAACTGGATTACAGATTTGAGAAGATTCCGGCCCGGGAAAATCCCGTATAGCCTAAAATGGTGAGGTGAGTGCTATGCTAAAAAAAAGTGCTTTGGTGAGCTAGGGGCACCTTGTCCGGCAACCTGATAACCGTAGTTATACGGAATAAAAAAAGTACAAGTTCGCGTCCCAGTGCCAGTGGAGTTTTAAACTCTGACATTAATCCCTCTGGCCACGTATTGTCTAAAAGATTTGAAAGTATATCTTCATATCCAACCTATAAATGATTATGGATTGTATTCCTATTAGCTATTAAACTTAAAATTATGAAATTTCCATTGCCTACCATAGATAAGTCAACAGTTGTCACACTAATTTTGTTTCAGCTTCAATCTATTATTTTATTTATCTTGTATATATGTATATTATTTCTCTTTATATGATTTACTTTATCTTTTTAATTATCTATATATTTTTTTTCATTATTCTAAATAAAACTTCTCCGCTTTCCAATGATATATTATACCTATATCTCCTGACTAGTATTTCCAGAAATTCAGTTTCGACCTAAATAAACATTTTCCCTTTTTTTCTCCATTTTTCAGTTATCTAATTCTTTCAAAAGATATATTTAGCATTTTTTTCATAGCTCTTAATAATGAAAGATAGTTAATTATTGAAAACTAACCAAATTAAAGGTACTTTAGAGAAAGACATGTTGAACATTTAAGCATTTAAGCTGTGTAAAATGTTATCAGTAGTGATAAGACCTCCATGATATTAAAGACCACTTAATTATATAATGATACACCGAGTTTAACCAAAATCGTTGGAGCTGTTTTTGAGAAAATTGTAAAAATGTGTATAACCGTTGATATAAAGTGCCACACCCGGTTAGTCGATTTTAAAGAAAAAATTGCTGTTACATCCAAGGCATATGCTGTGACATATACCTATCTCAAATAGGTAATATCAGTATTGTACGACTTTTCAATTTTCACACAAACACACACAGACCATTTTGAGGGACTTGGTTATTTAGACTCAGAGGACCTCAAAACATGTATTTCTGTTGAAAACACTGATTCAATAATTTTCGCGATCGCAATACTTTCCCTTATATATTACATATATAAGTAAGTGAAAGTAAAAAGCATATTCTCTAGAAATATGCTCGAATTATGTCACTTAAGAGCTATTTATTAATTTGTAGCATTACAAGAATGAATAATGTTGAAATATCCTTTACCTTGTTTTGAAGATCATTAATACACTTAAGTTTATAAACCAAAGCATATCAATGATCTCCATATGCACTAAGTTATTAATTAAATCAAATATTAAATGTTTAATAAAATAATATTAAGTAGTTTATAATAATAAAATATAGTTTTATATCTACCAATATAAAGCGCCATGTTGTTCATTTTCTTTAATGCCTTTACATTTTTCTTCACACATTTAGAATATTGATAAATCATGTCAGCATGTCTTTGCCACCTGTTGTTCTGGACCCAAGCCTTTAAAAGAAATAAATAAAAATATTTCAGAATTTGAGAATAAAGAAAAATCTAAAAATTTTACAAGGTTGTTACAAAAATCTCTTTGCATAAAGCAAGTTTCATTTTTACTTTAATGTGAAATCTACAAATTGAAATTATTCTTCATAGAGGCCATCATTGTCTTTAAAACTTTAATTTAATAATTTAAATTTATATTTTGAATTTTATATTTTAAATTTTATATTGTCCTTTAAATTTTATATTTGTTCTCATCTAAATATATCACATCATTCCAGTAGGCTATCAATCTAACCTATTTTTCTTATTCATTAAATTTCTGAGAAGTATTTTTCTATTCATTCTACTTTTAACTCCATATTGTTTTAATATTCTCCATAATATGTCTGGTACAGCTTGTTTTCCTATTACTTCTCATTTATTCCTGGTGTTATTTTTGTAGACTGTTAGTTAGGACTAAAACGGCAAAAATGGGTATAAAACAAACATTTAAGTTTACCAGGATAATAATTCTTAGCCCACAGCTTTCCACCCATGGAGTGGCTGCTATATAATTCTATTTTCTATTCAGAGTCCAGATATAACTCGGGGATGGTACCATCAAAATGACGAAGTTTCTGCTTGAACCAATTAGTTTCCCGGTATACTCTTCCTCTGGCACTCCCTCTATTCAGCAGTGCTATCTCCACTTATTTCATAAGTGATCCTCGGCGGTGAAAATCTCCCACAACTGGTAAGTCTGATTACTTTTATTATAAATATTAGTAAAAACTATTTAATTTAAGTAATTAACGATTGCTTCACTGTAAACTAGGCAAAATTTACTTTGAATAAAAATAGAGACTGCTTTTGTTAAACCATTTAAAGAGGACTTTTGAGGTGCTAAACTCAGCTAAGAATAAGGAGAGGTTATTGGTAGTGGTGGGGGAATGGTTAAGGGTGGGGAAGCACCTAGTACAGAGATGCTTCCTTCCTCCCCTCCTCCCTGAGAAAATTCCTGAATCCACCACTGACAGTGGATCGTGGTTCCTTTCCAGGTTAAATCCCATCAAATATTTTTGGATTGAAAATGCTCCCTCCCCGATTGAATTCAAAGATGACCCCATCATCAGCAAAATGATACTAAAAATAAATGACTGTATTCAAAATATTAATTTAAAAATGTTGACATAAATAAATAAATTATTAAATAATTTGAATAATTATAGAAACTTTGATGTATCAAAAATCTTTTATTATACATATATATTTATTATAAATATATATATATATATATATATATATATATATATATATATATATATATATATATATATATATATATATTTGTAGTTAGACAAAGATTTTTTATAAAATAAAGTGGTATTGAATTATTTTTTGATATTTTCAAGACATACTGACCTCAGGGTCAATGAACATTGATTCATTTGTGTCAAAGTTAACCAACTTAACAGCGATCCTGCTTGTGTCCCATGTATGAACCATCATATCCCATGAGTAACCATAAAGCCCATTAGTCCAATTATTGTAACCCTGAAAATCAAGAAAATATGAACATAAAACAAGAATATGATTTTCATTAAAAATGTTTTTAAATGGATATCTGTAACTAATCGAATGTAAAGAATATTTATCATTGCACAAGCAGCATAAAGACTGTGTCAGTGAGCAATACTCAGGAAACTGAGTCAGACTGAATCTCTGTACTGCTCCATGCAATACCAGAAGAAATGCCCTGAAGAAGACCTACAATGTAGGCCAAAACATTGGATAATTCAATAAAAATACTATTATGTAATATAGTATTTTATATATTAACGCACCCCCGACTAACTTCTTCTGAAAAGAAAGAATATTTAACATTAATTGATCTGGTAAGTGGTGGATAACTTTTTATCTTTGCAAATCGTAATTCTTATATAAGAAGTACAATAAATTTTAAATGACATTTAGCACCAATCTAAAAGCACTAAGTATGTTTCAGTAGGAGTGCTACCAATGGGTAATGTCTCTTCAAGTTATATATGCCACATTAATAATTCAAATTTACTTGTATTTTTAGCTATTACACTCTTAAATATCAATAACTATTTTTTTTTTTTTTTTTTTTATAAAAAAGTATTGGTAACTTGAATTAATGTTTAGAACTGATAATATTCAAATTACATTTTTATAAGGTCAAATATAAAAGTTTTATGATCCATAAAGAACAGTGGGAAGGGTAATCATTTTGTCAGTTTCAGGACAGAAAGTGGGAATGAAATAATTTAAAATTGAAAAATGAAAAGCATTTCCCACCTTTAGCCTTGCCTTAATTTTTTCTTTATTCTTTCTTTACTAGTCATTCTAGATCATGAATACCTAAATTTCTCTACCCATTCAAAAGTTTTCTCTCCTATATCTGCTTTACCCTTTTCAGTCCACATCACCTTTCTAATGAAATATTCTAAAGCTAAATTAAATAAGAAAGATTAAAGTGAATTATTTTATTTTGAACCTGAACGATGTTGAAACTTATATTAAACAGTTTTTAAGGGTCAATACGATCGTGAGCCTTTTAAGAATCTATATACTGCTGATACACTGTTGTATTCTAATTTTTTCTCAAATTTTTCTCGTAAGGAAGATATTCAAATATTCCTTCATTAGTTCACTAGAAATATTCTTTTCTTGCCAGTTCTTGTCTCGACTTCTAAATAATAGTACTAGGGATGACCCACATGTTTGGGTCGAAATGTCGGCTAACCCAATAAAAATACCTTGACTGAATTCCTGACAATTCTATTTCATCCTTATAATTGATCAGTCGACTACTTACCCATCTCTAAAGAAATATTCTTTATTCCCGCTGCTTTATTAGATTTTAATTTTTCGATGGCTACTTTTACTTCCTCTTTATGTGATTCTTCTATTAATTAATTTATAAACTATGTAATAATTTACCAGAGTAACAAAGTGAGAATAAGGTAGGAAAAGCTGAATTACTGCATGCATGTAAAGCATAACTACAGTGACGCACTGCCGTTTCTTTGGAACATAAGGACCTTTAACAATAAAAGCATATGTAAGAAAAATAAAATCACTCAGAAAATAATACATTGACATCACATTACATTTATAAGTAATTAAATATATTTATTGAAATTTATTTCTAATTTTACATCCAGAAACATAGATGCTACTTACCATCTTTGACATCTTCTTCATAGTAACATATTGGATTCTTTGCAGTATCATTCTCTACTAGAAATTTAAAACGATTCATCTGCATCAAGAAAAACTGTCTTGGCCAATTAAAACCACAGAACAATGGCATTGTTGCAAGACATACAAAAGGAAACATCCCTGTAACAAGTATTTATTAAACAATGAAATTCAATTTCAGAATTAGTATTACATTAATACTGACCAATATGAAACATCTGTGAATTCATTAAGTGGAAACTAGTAAGGATATAAAAACTTAGAGCCCTTGTTTTGTCAAAATATATCAGGAAACCCATAGTTAAGTCTATAAGAAATCCAAACACATGAATTATCCATAGATCAATTTGGTCTTTATCTAAAAATACCCTATAAAGAAGTATGAATCAACAAATTATTTGCTTTCTTAAAAAAATTTATAAGACATACTCCTTACTTCATTGGAAAAAATACCCAATGATCAGACAGGCTTGCCATAGAGTATCCATTTATCCAATCAAATTCAGTTTTTTTTAGTCCAGCATAAAAATAAAGAAGGAACAATTGAAAACGTAACACTGCATAATTCCATAATGGTACATGTCTATTATTCGGTATTACACCTTTGTAGGCATCAACAGACCTGAAATCAAAATTAAGTTCAGGGTACAGAGGATTTAATTCTCTATCCCCTACCCCCATCCACAAACCATGTTGTAATTGATTTCTTTTTTTTTTTTTTTTTTTGGGTGGGGAAGGTATTTTTATTTTTACAGTTGGCTTCACTTCTATGAGACATTAAGTAATACACAGTTTGTGGTAAACTATATTTATCAGAAATGATGTATTCATTCAGAATTGCTTTTTTATTCAAGATTTCTTACTACTACAAATACATTGCTTGAAGTTTCATGGAAATATTCTGTGAATTTTCCGGATGGAACCTTTCAGCTTTTGCTGAATGGTTATAAATTTTTCTCCATGGTTCTTGCTTACATTTTTTTTTATATATTGTATAATAAATAAAACAGCTTCTATAACTAAAATTCGGGTATAATGTCCAGACAAAGCTTTTTATTGTTTGTTATATTTCAGTGAATAGAGGTGTTCCGCTTGGCAAAACTTCTTATATTTCTACCAATTTTATTTTTAAAATTCAGAATTTTTCTCATTGTATGTTGAGGTGTATTACCAAATGTAAATTTCAAAATATATATTTCCCAATGAAACTTTTCGACAGAGATTTTATATTTAGGATAGCTTTGAAAATAAAAATGGCAAAAGTCAACTGCATTGGTTTGATGATTTGGTTTAAAGAATATATTAATAAATATGTCAGAAAATAAAGAGTATATGAGTCAAGATTTAGAAAGATGTCAGTTCATTTTTAATACAGAGTGTTTTCCATTTCTTAGCTGAATTTTCAGTTCTCATTGAAATTCAAACCAAGTTTCTAGATGTAAATCTTTTTTTTATTTCTATCACTAATTCCTCATTTGCAAATGAATTTCACAAGCTTGTGGATTCTGTTTGTCATGCATGAACTATTCCTTATTTGATTCATCCAACTCAGGCAAAATTTATTTAATTTTCTTTAATTTCATTTTAGCGTTTTTATTTATGTCCTTATTTTATCTTTTATCCCATATTTCTTTAGTTTCGTTTCTTCATATTGTTCAAATGATTCATTATCTGATATTTTTATTGTTCTATATCATTTTTTCTTATTACATCAGTATTTTTCATTTGTTTATTTATTTATATATTTATTTCTGGCAGATTTATTGATTTGATTATTAGTCAATTATTAATATACCTTGATGTCACATTTTAAACTTCTGTTATTGTTAATTATATACTCTACTAGTAATATATTGTATAATATTTCAAGCACACTGCTTTTCAAGCCATTAAATGTTTTGTGTTTTTCATTGTTTAAACATTTATTATATATTGAAAAATATTATTAACAAAATTTTTAAAAATGTATATTTGTTTGATGCTTGTTAAAACACTATTTCTTATATTTTTCTATAAAATTAAACAATAAACATTTGAAAAAATATTGAGAAAACTGTATGAGCTAAACTATCCCAGATATTCATTGAAGGCCAAAGGCATTGTTAAGGGGGAGATGATCACCGCTCTCTCACCCAATAATTCAAAATTCAAAAAGTTGGGAAATTAGTATTTTTAGAACCCATACCATACTATGAAAATATTAACTAAACTTGAGAATAAATATGTTGGAATAGAAAAAAAAATTGGGGTCAAATATTAATATTCCTAACATTAAGTGTGAAATTAACATACTTACACACTAAGTGTAAAGATAAATTCTAAAGGATTGAAATATTTCTGTACCAAATTAATGTATTGCATTTTTTTTTTTTAATTAATAATTAAGTCAAATTTGTTCCAACTCTAAATTGTTAGGACATTTTATATTTTATCTTTGCATAATTACAAATAGGGAGCGGGATAGCTCAGTGGTTGGGCACTAAACTTCCAATGCTCAAGGTCCCAGATTTGAATCCCGGCTCATGGCAGAAAAAATATTTATTCTGTTTCATTGGCCGTGGGACGACTACGGGTAGGGAGATCCTCCTGGGGCACACCCAGCCTCTAATAAGTGGGTACCCTTAATTAAATAATTCATTAAGGGGGAAAACCTGGCGGTTGAGCGTGATCCTGGCCCTATGGCCTTGAAATAGTATTTTCTCTAAAAGTACTCAATCCGAGACCCTTCATGGGTTGTAGTGGTACAGTTTTTTTTTTTTTTTTTTTTTTTTTTTTTTTTTTTTTTTTTTTTTTTTTTTTTTTTTTTTTTTTTTTTTTTTTTATATAATTACAATATATGAACATGTTCAGCTTTATAGTTTGCATAAAAATCTATTTCTAATTAATATTGATTTACACCTATTTCATGCATAATAGGAACCTGTGAAGAAAAAAAAAGAAAAGAACTTTTTTCAGTAGTACTTAAAAGAAATTTCTGAAAAGATAAAATTTTTGTATTAAGTCAATTTTTATTTTTTATGTAGAACTTTCTCATTACCCTTGCCTCATATGGTGTAATAATATATCTTTTCAGTAAACTGGAAATTTTAGCCTTAGGAAAGCAGTTGCATTCCACTAATCCATGGCTATGCTCTTTAATCTAATAAATAATTTCATAAATTGTTTAGACAATAATAAATTAAATATCAACATAGATATAAAAATATGTTTTTACCATAAACTATGACTATCTGTTGCTAAAAACAATAGCACAAGAAGACCAAACATATATGAATGATTGTTCCATGAACTTTTGTCCAGTAGAAACATATACCAATAAGGAAGAGCAAAAGTTACACAACTGAGTTTATAATTCCAACCCAACATGATTCCACCTGCAGCTAAAATGAAAAGCATCAAATATAAAATGAAATCAACAAAGAATAATTTATTTAAATTGTTTTAATAAACTATCATACATATCAACATTATTAGGTAAAGAATGCACATCCAATGTAATGGGAGAGGTTTTAGGAAATCAAAAAGAGGAAACCTGCAGTCCGTTGGTTCTCCCCACTTAAGATCAGCCTCTCCAAATCCTCTTTCTTCAAGAACATCCACCATCATGAGAAAACCTTAATGTAAAATCAACTAATTAATATAAAATTACTAACTGACGTTAGCAATGAAGTTTATTTTCCTTGAATTAAAAATTACAATATCTTAATAACTAAATATATAAACATAAACCTAGTAAATAAATATAACATAATTTGAGTAAGAAATGGTGAGCAAAGGAGTAATTAAAAAAGAAAAGCATAATTTAATCTTATTTGAATATGAATGAATTTAAAAGTCTAAAGATATGTGACTACATTAAGGCATCTCCACCATCAATCCACCGTCTTTTATTAAGGAAATGAGAAAAAACCTGTTTTACAAATAATCCGTGGTCAACTATTTGGAATGATACAATTTTTAACATTATTAATTTGTTTTTCTAGTTCATGCAGAATTCTTTCATTTTCATTTATGGAAAATTAAGTTAAAAATATAAAATAAAAAATTACTTCGTTTAAACTAAAAAATGCATATATTGTACACAAAAATATTTCCATATATATTTTTTTTTAGGAAGCAAATCAGGATATAACTTTGATTAATATCTTGATGCAAAACAGCAAAAAAAATCATTTTGATAAAAGTTGGTGGTTTAGCCAATTATACTAATTATACTTTTTATCCACTGTTTTAATTCATACCAGTTACATTCCAATCAATACTACTTCTTAGTAATTTTTTCCTTACTAATAAATAGAGTTACAAATATTTTGAGATTTTCTACTATAGCACTGTAAAGCACAGGTGGATTTATGGAGGAGGGGGGCTTTCAGTCTGAAGCCCCTCCCAAAATGGTAAAATGTAACCATGTTTTAGGTAAAAAATATTAAAAAATTATGTCTTAAAGTATTATTGCTCGTTTAATTACATTTAATAGGACCTCAAGAATTACTTAAACACCATTTCATATAGCTAGTTAGTATCTTTCTGTTTTTCCAAAGTAATTATCGTTATATATATGAAAAAGAAGCTTCTGGGCTGAAGCCCCCCAAAATTATATCCTGGATCCGCTAGTGAGATAGATACAGTGCAAGCTTTAGGTAGTTGATCGGAGGCACCGACTGAGGAAGTTGCTCTCCACTTGTATGAAATAAAACAAATTTTACAACATATAAGAGAATAATTAATTTTAGTCTGTTAATAAAGAAACTGAATTAGAGGCATATTGAATGAGATAAAATTCAAATATTACTTAATATAAAACAGCTTAAGTTTATTTAATTTCTAGAACGGAGACAATGTCATTGCCCAGGGGTGCCTAATGTTTAAGGCCAGCACTGGATAGATACATGTTATTTGAATTAAATATTTTTTTAGAACTTTAAATTCATAGATTCCTTTATTTACATACCAAATAATATTCTTGCAACAGCCAAAGAACTGGGATCTGTTGGTCGATGAAGCAATTTGACTATGCCATGCCAAGATGTAATATCCTCTATCGTAAAACCAAAAACTCTTTCAAATGTTGTTTTCTGCTTTGGTACGGTCTGTACATTTTCAATGACTGATTCTGAGCTATTTTCTTCATCTTCTTGTTCATTCATTGTAACTTTTTTTCCTCTTTTTTTTTTTATAGATATCTGTAAATAAATTAAGAATTTAAGTTAATGTGGCTACTATAGTATTTTAAATATATTCCTAGAACTCATATTATATAATATATATATAATATATATTCAAAATTTTAAGAGATTTGAAGCAGTGAAGTAAGTTTTGCCACGACATTTAAGCACAATATTATTTTATATAGTTTCCAACTATTCAGAAATATAACTCTATATATATATATATATATAGTTTTCAAGTTAATTTATTATTAGCCATATTTACACCAATTTAAAAAAATTTGTTGTCACTTAATGACTACTCATCAACATGACGACGTTTCGGCTCGTCAAGCCATTTTCAAGTCTAAAAAAATTTTTTCATTTACAATCATATATTAACTTTAACATATTTCAATTTATAAAGATACTTATTATGTACCTAAAATACCCATCATGTACCTGTCATTTTCACTTATGCGAATTGCAAGCGTCTACTCATAAAAAAATTCCTTATTATTGTCATGTTCACCTTTAATTATTTAACAACATTATTATTACTCAATTCTTTACTATTAAATGATTCAAATTAAGTTAATAAATTGAAATATGTTAAAGTTAATATATGATTGTAAATGAAAAATTTTTTTAGACTTGAAAATGGCTCGACGAGCCGAAACGTCGTCATGTTGATGAGTAGTCATTAAGTGACAACAAATTTTTTTAAATTGGTGTAAATATGGCTAATAATAAATTAACTTGAAAATAAATAGTATGCACCGAAGAAGAATTGAGTAATATTATGAATATATATATAGTTCGAATCTTGGTCCTATTATTCCACTGGCATTAATTAATTAATTAAAAATAAGAAAGGAGATATTTAAATAAATTGTCTCCCTCCCCGGGTAGCTTAGGCTTGTCAGTCCACTGGAGGTTACTAACCCCAACCAAGCAAAGGACTGATAATGCTACCCCATGTATTTAATTTGGGAATCGTGATGTGATTTTCCAGGATGTCAGTAGCCCCTCAGAGATTTGTTCCATGGATGGTCCAGTTTGGAAAAAGCAATGTAAATCTTCGTGCATCAGCTAAATCTGATCAGCCACAATCCATGGATTTAGACTGGTTTGTCAATGTCCTTGAACCTGAGTAAGTTGGTGGGAAGAACACTGTCAGATTGGTCCCAAAGGGTTTAGCTAAAAATCTATCTATCTCAAGGTGCCCTGCCATCACACCATGGAGATCCTGATTCGTAGCAATGAGAGGTTAGGTGACCCCCTCCAGACTGGGATCCTGCAGCAATTTATATCTGTTAGAAGACCACATCAGGACCCAAAGATGTGGATGGTCTATATTGAGTTTGTGATTTTCTCTAGAACAGTATAGTGTTGAAAAGATTTTTTTTATTATGACAAAATGATGATATGTGTGATAATATTTCAGTATAATAAAGGCAGTACTATGGAAGTATTTATATATATATATATATATATATATATATATATATATATATATATATATATAATATATTATAATTATATATATATATATATATATATATATATATATAACTGAAACTGTAAAAATATTAAATGAATTATTGATATTGAATTTAAAATGAATCAATTCAGAATACAATACTTTCAATTTGTTTACACTCAAATTACATAATTATATCAATCAAATTAATAATTAATCACTATAATTTTAAATATTTGCTGTTTTTTTATGATTATGACCATAATGAAATAATGATTTAATGTGACAGTGTTTAATTAATAATTTGTTTGATATGTAGATAAGTAATTTGAGTAAAAATAAAATTAAGATATTGTAATCCGAATTGATTTATTTTAATTGTTAATTTCCTTATTAATAATTCGGCTTAATTTTCGTTATTCATTTAATAATTTTGTTGTTTCAGTTAAATATAATAACATTTTCATAATAAAATAACTATTATTATACAGAATAAAATAACAATTTTAAATGACAGCGATTAATTAATAATTTTATTGATTTAATTATGTGATTGCAGAGTACACAAATTAAAAAAATCTGAATTTCGATTTTATTTATTTATATTTTTAAGTTCTTTCATAGTAATTCATTTAATTTTCGTCATTCACTTGATAATTTTGCTGTTTAAGTTAAATAAAAACGAAATTATCAAAAATATTAACATTTAAAAATTGTAACGTACTACTACGAATTACCTGAAGATTAGGACCAATTGTGATCCTGGAAACAGCAGTCAAGGACTACAAGGAAAGTCCTGAGAAGAGTTGCTATGGCAACCGATCTCCCATCGATTGAATTTGCGCAGGAGCAGGAGCAAGACCGAAATGTTATTTGAATTTACATTTAATCAGTTAGTTGTCAATTGTTTTCCGCCTTGTTAGGTTATCAAAAATAATTAACAATTGATGAAGCGTAATCGGTGACGCCAGGCAATTCGCATCAGGTACTCTTAAATTAATCGAGCGTTGAGGGGTGAAAGATCCTTCAGTGACTGTTGATAAAGCAGTGATTGAGTTCTGATGAATTTCATTGAACAGCTAAGGAGAATAACATGTCATGGAAAAGAAATTAGATTGTGGATTTTTTTTATAAAATTGTAGATTTTAGAAATTAAATTGTGGTAGTATTCACAAGCTGGACGTTTAGTCAATCATATGAATAAATAATAGGAATAAAAATTAATTAAAACCAAAATTGAATTTTTATCAAATTTTCTTCATTCAATCAAATTTAAAATTTTCTTCCACTTTTTTCTTCAATTGATTATCTTAATACCCAAATAAGATTATTAAAACCGACCGGAGGGTTATGTGTTTGGATTGTCCACTAAAAGCTATGTAACGCTTTTTTGAGCGAACGCCAGGGTCAGTTTTTGAGTTTGATCGCTCCTGAGTGTTTTGAGCCAATTTGAGCTAAAACACCAGCTCATGATTGTATAAAATATGTTCAATCAATTTTAAAGAAATATAACAATTTTTTGAGCGAGCGGCTGGTTCGATTTTAAATTTGTTATCTTAAATTATTCGTGTGATCTTCTGGGTGTTTTGAAAAAAAATTGAGCTAAAAATACTGAACTTTTGTTACGTGTTTAATCAATTTGTGAAAAGCTTTGTAACGCTGTTTTGAGTGAACGGCTTTTCTATTTTTAAGTTTGGTGGCTCAAATTATTCGGCGAGATCTTTTGAGTGTTTTGAAATAATTTGAGCTCAAAACACTGATCCGTATTCGAATAAAATGTTTTTAATCAATTTTCTGAAAGCTAGGTAAAGATTTTTTGATCGAACGGGTGGATCAATTTTTAAGTTTTATATCTTAAA